CCTGCAGGCATGGGTGTGCGCACCCCAGCTGCAGGCAGGAGCAGCCCAGGGTCACCAGAGCCAGCCGTGTCACTACCTGCTGAGGAGCTGGCCTGGAATGTCTAACTGTGCTTTACTGCCTGCTTACACCTTGTTTTCGCCTTTCACCATGGGGATCCCGGAACACAAGGACCAGCAGCACTGCAGGAATGGGGTCTCCCCTGCTGCTGCTGCTGGCCTTGCTGATGATGGTCACCAAAGCCAAGGTGTGAGTTGGCTTGTGTGCTCCAGGAAGAGGGGTTGGATGGCTATGGGGGCTACAGCCTTGCCAACTGTGAGTTTCAGTCCCCTGTCTGCCCACAGCCTTTCCTTCCTGGCTGCTGCCATCCCCACAGATGGCAGCTGTGGCACAGCCTGAGTGCCTTCTGCCCCTGCCCAGGGTTCTGAGTGGCCTTTTACAATAGCACCTTCAAGACGGCAGCTTAGAGCATCAAAGTGGATGGCAGCACTGACTACGGCATCTTCCAGATCAGCAGCCAGCTGTGGTGCCCTGGTGACTGCAGCCCCTCAGATAATCACTGCAGGATGGCTTGCAGCGGTACCACAACACTGCTCCTCCAGAGCCGGCCCGCGGGGCTGAGACAGCAGCTTAGCCCTCCCACTCTGCCCAACTTCAACCCCTGGCCAAAATGGAGCCACAGGGGAATGCAGGCCCCAACCTGGGCAACTCAGTGCCTGTGGGGGTGGTGAATGGCCGGGTTCAGCTCCTCTTTTGGTCTGTGCAGGGTGTGGGTAACCCCGCTGACTTCTGAGGCTGGGGAGTGAGAAGCCATGGCCATTGCCAGAGGCATTTCTCCAGGGCGCCATAGCATCACTGCCTCCAAGACTTCTCCAGGGTTTCACCTTGCAACTCTGGGTGAGCTTGTCCCATATCCATTCTTTCCTCTCCTGGGATACAAGGGACCCCAGGGCCCTCTGGGTGTTTTGACTGTGGGTGGAAGATAGGCAGTCCTGATTTGGGTGGGTTGTGATGTGGGGTTGGATGAGATAAATGCATTCCCCAGGTTGTGGAGGGGGTAGTTGGGAAAGTAATCACCCACGGCTGTATTACTACCAGGCAGATCCAGGTCTTGGCTCAGGGTCTGCCACCAGTGGGGAGCTCCCAGGCAGACATGGGAAGGGTTTCGCTGTGTCTGACCAGCAGACATCTTGCTACATGAGAAAACCCAAGGTCTGGGAGGCTGGGGCTGGATCTCCAGTCCCTGTTCAGACCAAAACCTCTTTTTCTAGACAGGCAGAAAAGCTGCCTAACAGATTTTTTGGTTTTTTTTTTTTTTTTCCCCAGCAGAACAAGCAGGAAGGGATTGAAATATCACAAGCATAGATGGGTCTGCCTCCCATTTTTCCCCCACCTTCTATCTCTCTCACATGTGATTACAGAGGCAGGCACACCAGCATTTGCAGAAAACATCCATTTATGGTTGCTGCTGGCCATGCAGAAGCAGATGAGGGTGCCTGCCTGGCAGTGTTCAAGCACGTGAGGCTGATGGCAGCCTGGCCGTGGGGAGAATGAGCAGCATCCAGCCCCACACCAATGCCTGGGGCTGCTCAGGTGCCTGGCCCTCTCTGCACCCAGCAGGGGAATCTGCTCCAGGCTGGTGTCCTGCCCTCGAGTGAGCTCATGGGGTCTGTGCTTCTCTCCCTGCAGATCTGACATCGAGTAATATAACTAATGACATCATCTGCGCTGAAAGAATTGTGAGAAACCCAAGAGGAATGAATGCCTGGTAAGGGGCTTTGGGGACAGTTTCTTTGGCAGGGCTCACGTGTTTCTGAAGGGGTATGACTGCCCTTTGCCTGACTGTCACACAAAGGCAGCACAGCCACACCGAAGAGGAGGAACCACAACTCCAAGGATTTGTAGGTGGGTGGGAATGGAAACACAAACTTGCACTGCTTCAGTCTCTGCAAAGCATCTCACAGGAGACACTAGGGAGGATGGAGCAGAGAAAAAAAAAAGTTTCATAAAAAAATCTCACGTGAAAAATACATGGTCAATAAATTGCCCATCAGCTAGTAGGTTAGCTCTTGAAGATTTCTCTCTGTCTTTTGCTTTCAAAGTCCTTTAAAGAGCTCCTTCCCCCAGTTTTTACTGTCTCTTATCTTAGCTGGAAGCACCTAGCATGGAAGCAATTCTTCCCAGAGCATTTAGGACCATTAATCACTGAAATATCCTGATTAATCTAGATGACAGCCCTTGCTTGGTGAAGCCCTGAACCATCCCTGGGACTCTGGGCTGCGATAACATAGGAAGCCTGTAAAGGCAGAACAACCAACAGGCTGAGAAAACAGAAGTGGGGGTAGAAGACAATTCCAACGATCATGTAATATGTGGTTGTCTGAAGTCCCAAGGCATTTTGTGCAAAAACAGCGGTGTTAACCACTGAATCCTGAATGGTTTCCAAGTTGAGGAACAAGATTCTGCCTTCAGATTCCCCCCGCCCACTCCCCACCATTGCAGTTGGACTCATTAGCTGTTTTTGCTTCCTGTGGTGGGCTGCTACAAAGCCCAGCTCACCGCAAAAGCAGCAGCATTTCTGAGTAGAGTTGAGGTAAGTAATTTGTGCGGTATACAAGCAAATGGTCTTAGGGCCCCTGTGGTGAGCATTGCTGTCGCATGGTCTGCTGCATGCTCAGCGCACTGTGCTCAACTGCTGTGTACCAGCGAAGGAGGGACCCTTGCAGTGGCAGGAGGGGGCAGGACCTGCCATTGAGATTCATTATTCCTGGCCAGGACTCAGAGAGAGCTCAGGTGGTATCAAGGGGCAGCAATGGCTGCAATCCTTAGTGTGCGACACCCAGCCAGAGTTGGAGGGTCTGCAAGTCCTTCTCCAGGGCTAGTCTCTCATTGGGAAGGACCCTACAAAAACACAGAACCTGCTCGTACTGGATATTAATTATACCAGTCTAGTACCTAAATAATGTCTTTTTCCTTCTTCTATCCTCAGGGAGGACTGGGCAATGTACTGCAAGGGACGAGACCTGTCTGAGTGGGTGGAAGGATGTGACCTGTGAGAAAGTCCCCAGCTCAACTCTGTGCAGCTGACGGGGGCTGCCTCTCCTCTCTTGCAAGGGGAGAGCTTCCCCTTCACTGCACAACACTTCTCAGTTAGTATTTGCAAACCTAATGCATTCCACAAGGTATAAAATAATTTTAACAATACAGCATGCTTTTTTTTTTTTAAAAAAAAAAGCAAACTCGACTTTCTATTTTCACATGTGATTTAGGGTACAGCCCCAAAAGATTTTCTCCAGGGCATTTTTTTTGTGCATGTTAGAATGGGGCAAGGGAGTGAGGGTCAGGAGCTGGGTAGATAACATTACCCTTGGATATAGCTGATTTCTCTGGAGTTTTCAAAGAAACTGAAAAAGGGAAAACCTCAGAAAAGGATACAAATCTGCAAGCTTTCCAACACCTCTTATTTATATATTTGTAATAAAACTGCAGCAAAACACAGCCCAGAATCTCACTAGGTGAAACTTGTATCTGCTCAGCAATGTAAGCTGTCCCTGTGGGAAATCAAAGTGCTGCACAGCCCGTTCATGACTGCCAGGGCAAAGGAGGTGAGCGAGCTCTCCTGCCAGCGGTGCAGCTCGTGATGGAACCGGCTGGTCCTGCAGCTAGATTTCTACAGCAGTCCCTACTGTGCATAGAAGGTCGCCCTGTGCTGGCGGTGTTCCTCCACTGTGGAAAGGCCACAGTGCAGTGGAAGGAGATGTCTGGCATGGGAACGGCTGCAACTTGCAGCTGGGAGGATTCAATGCAGGAACAGAGAGGGTTAAAGAGAAACAGTGGTCATCGCTGTCACCACAGATGAGCATTAGCTCTGTCTGTTTTCTTTGAACGCTTGGGAAAGTACAAAACTACAAAGGAGTATTTTTTTATTATGTTGTGGTGGTGTTTAAAAGGAGAAAAGAGAAAAAAATCAAAGCAGCTTATTTGTTGTCAGTAGACGGGGTCTGAATCAAAATTTTACCTTCCAACACTGCCGAGCTTTGAAATCCAAGCCAGGGGTGGACGCTTTCAGTGTGTGATGATTGCCACTTCACCAAAAAAACTTTCATTCAAATCAAAATGCCAGATCCTAACACAAAATATACTGTAATCTTTGGAAGATCATATTAATTCCTATTCTAAGGAAAATCTGGGGCAATTTCTACACAGTACCAGGGATTAAGGCCAAAATTTTCACCTATGACTTCCTTGAACACTTTCTGCATTTTCTGGAGATGGTGAATATCTCAAATACTTGAATGTTAGTGCTGGAGTCCTGGAGTAGACATGGAAACGCAGGGGACCCATGTTCATTTCTGGATGTGATTTGCCACAGTTCTGTCAAACCAGTCCCATAGAAGCTCTGCTACCTTCCTCAGCAAAATATGTAGTTGACTCATGGCAGAGCTCTGAGGACACAGGACAGCTGCTTTGGGTAAGATGTGACAGATGATAACCCGTCTCTTCCCTTTCACTTAATGCAAAAATCTAGGTGTCCAGCTTCACTTTCATCCGGAAACCAAGTAAGGAACTTGCTTTTAGCCATATCCACCTGAAATCCCAAGAAAGGCAGAGAGAATATGTTTTCCTTGCTTTCTTGATGAAAGCAAATTTTCCGTTTATTTCTAGGAGGTAGTATTTGCAGGGGAAATTTGGTAATCCTTATGAAAAAACAGTATCCCCCAGCCTGCAGCCCCCCTGGTGACATGAGGACTGCAGGTAATCCGGCACGCTGTCATGTCTGAATGCTGTAACTACTTGAGGACCTTGCCAGCACACATGGACAACAGGGATCATGAGATCATCTACAGGCACATTTTAGAGGAACAAGAAACCTCCTACCAAGATAGAAACAAATTAAATAAAGGGCCTGATCCTGTTTCCCCATGAATTTAAAGGAAGCTTTACCACTGATTTTAACAGCAAACAGGACTGACCTCGTAGGGTATGTCATCAAACAGCTCCGGATTGCTTGAGAGTATTTCAACACTTACATTATACGCCCCATCTTTCAAACTTGGACATAAATATTCACTTGGCAGAAATCTCAGTCTACAAGCAAATTAGGAGATTTGTTTTTAACATTTTTTCCACACACAAAGTAAAAAAAAGAGAGAAAGAGTGAAGGAGCTCTTGGATGTTTTTAAGTTGCTGCTGCTATGCAATAACATTTACTGTCTTTGCACTACCCTATCTTAAAAAATGAATTCACTCATTATTAAAAAAATAAAAAAAGCAAAATAAATTAATTAATTGATGTTGCAATCACTATTTGCAGATGCAATGGAGGTAAGTGATACTAAGGGCTCAGCCAGCAGTCCGGAAGCCACTGCTAGAACAGGGACAGTCACTTGGCTGATGTGTGGCTTGTGGTCCATGAGAGCTTACGAGCCATCAGGCCACAGCTCACAGCACCGAGAGCAGGGTTGTGTGTGACCAGATCTGCCGGGTCACCCACGTACGTGCATGGGAAAGGAGCAAAGCAGCTGGGGCTGTTGGAGTCAGTGTTATGCACCACCCCAAAGCCCAGCTGTGTGTCCAGCCACCCATCTCTACAGTGAAACTGGGGGCTTTGCTGTCATCTGGAAAGCTTTTGAAACCAAATTATCTGTGCAGCTGCTATAGGGACTAGAAAGTGTTGGTATGAGGTTCGTGAGATAAGAGAGGAGAGCTGGTCCTCTGCTCCATGATCTCCTACACGATCTCCAGCCCCACACCCCAACTCCAATGAACAAACTCAGGGATGCTGGATCCAGCTGCACTGTGAATGCAAGAGACATCCTGGAGCACCAACACATCCCTGCCGAAGGTACCACTGCAAACTCAGTTTCTCTCTTTACTTTGCCACAGGACAGATGCCAACACCTTCTTCCAACCTGAGTACACAGCCAGATTTTTGGATTCTGCAGATTATATTTATTAGGAGAAAAAACTGAAGATTAATTTAGCTATTTCCTCAACGCAATCCCCTTTCCCTAAAAACTGAAGATTAATTTAGCTATTTCCTCAACGCAATCCCCTTACCCTACAGTTATACAGAGTGTAGCAGGCAGAGGACAGCTCATGCAACCAGGGACAATTATTTCCTCCCAATTCAAAATGAAATTTCTTTTGGTGCCCTCCCAAATTGCTCCTTCTGTCAAAGTTGTTCTGTGTGGTCTGGCATGCCAGCTGCCAGCCTGCTGCTCCTCTGCATCTGCTTCTGGGCTCCCTGCATCCTTCTTTTACACATGCACACACCCCCCCTCGCCATCACTCATCCCCTGCGTGTGCAGGCTGGGGGCAGGTACTCGCCATCAAACACGGGCAGCTCCTCTCCAGGCTGTGCTCCCTGTCCGCCACCCAGCTGATGTTCTGCTGTTACAGCTACTGATCCCAGAGCTTACATAAAGAAAAACAATGGTTTTTACACAAATCCTCAGGGAGAGGCTGGTAACTTCAGTGTAATTTAATCTACATCAGAATAAGACAGTAAATATTGTTGTGTTTGCATTAGGATGAAGTAGAGTGAGTAAAGCAGAAGATGCTGAGGAAAGAAACACCTGTATAATTCAGAAGGAGGGGAAATATTGAAAAGGTACAAAGTTGCGTAGTTTGGCCATCTTCACTGAAAATTAATGTATTGTTACAGAGACTGGGGAATCTGTTTAATCCTTTCAAATGGTTTAATCTCCAAATGTTCACCCATATTCATGGCCTGCGCTCCTGTGTCAGTGATGTTAAACAGAGGAGCCTGGTCCCATGCACTCAGCTGTGTGTGGAGCCAGTCTAGGACAAAATCAGTGTTTCTGTTCACCACTGCTATCTCCAAGAGATCTCTCTGGGACTGAGGAGCTCAGCCTGGTGGCCTGATCAAAAAGATCAAGGGATGATGCGATTACAAAGTGTAAGTACCGTCATTGGTAGAAATTCTCGGCATGGCAGAGCTCTTTAATCCAGGGGAGAAAAGCATAACAAGAACCGATGGCTGGGACTTAACTCTAGGCAAATTCAACTAAGAAATGAGTTATAAACTTTTAATCAGTGAAAGGAGATTAACAACCAGAATAAACAAGTAGAAGAAATGGTGTCTTCTCCAGCTCTTAACATCTACTGACAGAGACCAGATGCTTTTCTGGGTCTGCAATGGTGGAAGGCAGCTCCTGGGGCTCTGCCAAAGGGGATATGGGTGAAATTCTGCAGTCAGGTGTCAGCAACAGCAGCTCGCTCACCCTCAGGCTGGATCAGGCTCAGATTTTAGCCTGCTTCAGATTGGCTTTGTGACACCTGCCATCCCTCTCTGGATAAGACAGCTTGCCATTGCCAGCTCGCCACTGACAGCTCTGGTCCACAATTTATTGCCCCATCCCCAGTACCTGATGAGTGTCCTGCCTCCATGGAGTGGGGCCCAGTGCCAACGGGGACCAGCCTGTCACTTTGCCTCTTGCTGCTGTGTCTGATGCCTCTACACACCATCCATGGGGAAAGGGAGAGATAGTCAGTCCTGCTCATGCTGACAGGGTCCCATGGACTCCTAAGGAGAGGGGGGGGGAAAGACCATCCTGAACATCTAACAGCTGGAAGTCGGGAAGCCTTAAGGCCCCTTGGGTTCAGTATTTTTGTCTAACTTCCATGGCAGTGAGAAGTATCATTCATGCTTTGGATCTCAGACACTGTAATTGAATTTCCAAGATTATTAGATAATGGGTGAGTGTGGTTTTACTACAAGAGCCTTGAAACTGATCCTGGTCCCTCTTACCTGAGTATCAGTGCCTTGCTGAAAATGTAGACTTTCTAACACTAAAGGGTGTGCCACCATGTGGCTCTCAAAAGGTATTTGAAAATCACATTTGGCCCTCAGCGAGGAAAAGATGATCTAATGGCCTCTTCTGGCCCGATGTCTATGAATCCTTTCACAGTTTCCCAGGGCACTCCGTGTGTTTGCTCATGACCCTTCAGCAGCAGCGCTGTGCAGGGACTGCTGTTCCTGTGAGGAGCATCATCCCCATCTGCCTGCAGCCCATCCCGCACTTCTGCCCTC